GCTGGACCAAAGGCTTTGTACAGACCAGCCAATCAAGGTGAAGCTAAGAATAATTATTTAAGATAACTCTGCATCCTTTCCACTGCCTTTTTGGTGTGGCTGCAACCACTCTACCTTGAATAAGGTAAGATTAGCTGGAACCATAGGTTCAATCAATATGACTGACGTAAGGCTAGCACATTTTAACAGAAGAATACATCTAATACTATTTTACTCAGAATTTATACCATAGATAGGAAAGGATGCTATGTGACAAATACAGAGTCATAGATATTGTAGCATAGCATGTCATTCTGAGAATCTAAGAGCCTTCACAAAATAAACTAACTGTTGATTTTATTTTGATGATGGGAAGTACAAAGCATAGCTGTAATCAATCCCCCCTCTAAGCTGTGGAGTCTTGTGAGCAAAATTTCTACTTTGTAAGCTACTGGCATTAAAGTTGTGAGTGAGCGATTGCGCTATTGCATAAATTAGTTTGCTCTGGAGCCATCCTTCCTGAGCTAAGACAAAAATGTGTGAGCTGGAGGCTAAAAAACTGTGAGCTAGCTCACACTAACTCATTTTAGGGGGAACACTGGCTGTAACCCCTGTTTTAGCAAGCATTACCAGTAGTAGATCATGCACTTCAGTCCTTCACCTAAGCCTTGTGGAGACCATGGGTGCTGGAGAAGGAAATTATAACCCTAGAAAAATATAAACTATTCTTTTATACATAGAAAGGCCAAGGGCACTAGGAAATCGGTCAGCCCTAGTTTATAAGAATGTCACATCAGCTATACTGCAATGCTTTATGGGAGAAGAGAACCAAAGAGGCATAATTCAGACTGCTATACTGAAATGCCCCAGGCTCACTTATATTTCTGCCACACATTTGGTCTGAAGTTGTGGATTTATTTGGATATTAAGGTTAGAGGTTAGGTTATAGTATGGGATTAGCTGGTTGTAGTATGGGATTAGCTGGCTGCTTCAGGGCTGAGCAAGAATGTTTTTCTCATAAATTTCCTATGAGAGTCCTGTCTCTGTTTCATATTGTATCAGGGAGTGGAAGTTTATTTAAATAGACCTAGTCTAGTAGACTAGTAAAGTCAACTAAAGTGGCAGCTTTTATGCTGGTTAATTCCTTGACTGGTACACAGCACTTCTTAGACTTTCCAACACTGCAGCCAGATGGTGACAGGCAAGCAACAGTGGAGCCTCGAATGGCCTCCCCTCTGAGGCACCAACCTACTGAGGCTAGGCTGTAGCCCATGACTTCACCACCAGTAGCAGCAGTACCTGGGTGGGTCGAGGTAAAGCTGGGCCAAGCCATGGCAGCCAAAGTGGCTGGACCGAGGTAGTGGCCAGCCAAAATAGCAGCCTACTGGGGAAAGAGGTAGACCAGGCACAGTTCCACCCCAGTGGGCAGCCTTGCCTGCCAATCAGCCTGGGAAGTTTTCAGGTTGGCCTTGGAGCCCTTCAAGGGTAAGATCATGGGGGAGGCTGGAGAGTCAGCTGTAGATTGGTGTGCCAGAGCACAACATGATGAGCAATATCTTCACCTGCTGGATTTTCCTGTCCTTCGAAAATGTTTATTTTATTGTTAACAAGGGAAAAAAGAAAATAAATAAATACAAAAGTCATTACAAACTTCTAAAAAACCCATAAAAGTAGAGAAACCATTCTTAATCTTACCATATGACATCATAAACAAAGCAGTAATTTCGTAGAGTTCCTTCAGATTTTCTTGGATTTCACCTGTAATAACAATTAGACCTTGTCTTTAGGACCAATTAGTCTCTAACTAGGGTTTTTAGTGATAGTTCAGGTAGCTAGCGCATAACTGGTAATTGCACACTGTTGATGAGGCAATTGGTGGGCATCCTGAGACATCTAGAGAGGAAGAATTTTATTATCACACCACCTTATCCCGCCATCCTGAGTTTCCATTGTTAATTGCATGCTGCCTTTTAATATAGATATATTAACTAGGAATAAGGTTCGTTGTGGAAATAAATACAACGAGCTCTAGGAAGAGGCTCTGGGAGAGTGCCCCGGCCTTGGGCACTCAGCGTCAATTTGCTGTGGCGATCTCAGCAGGGTATAATGACAGAGAGTTCACCATTTTCTCCTGGGGAACTGATCGCTGCCATCTGAAGAGCAGTTGTAATTCTGCATGATCTCCATCCCTCCGCTGGAGGTTGGCAACAATGGTTCCCCATGAGGGACAACTGGCTTGGTGGGTGGAGTCCATGGCATCGCACCTGTCTGAGGTCCCACCGCTCCTCAAATCTCACCCTCTCCAGGCTCCACCCCTCAAATATCCAGGAATTTCCCACCTGGTGTTGGCAACCCTATCTCTTTCCCAGCCAACTGTCAGCCTACCGTTATCTGCCCCCTGGCTTCAGCTTTCCATCTCCCCCCTCCGTCCTCGAGAGCAGGTGTAATTCTGAATGTTCTCCAGCCCCCACCTGGAGATTGGCAACAATGGTTCCCCATGAGGGATAACTGGCTTGGAGGGTGTCCATGGCATTGCACCCATCTGAGGTCCCACCGCTCCTCAAACCTCACCCTCTCCAGGCTCCACCCCTCAAATCTCCAGGAATATCCCACCTAAAGTTGGCAACCCTATCTCCCTCCCAGCCAACTGTCAACCTACCGTTATCTACCCCCTGGCTTTAGCTTTTCATCTCCTCAAGCTCCCTCCTAGAGAGCAGGTGTAATTCTGAATCTTTTCCAGCCCCCACCTGGAGATTGGCAACAATTATTTCCCATGGGGGACGGCTGGCTTGGAGGGTGGGGTCCATGGCATTGCACCTGTCTGAGGTCCCACCCCTCTTTAAACCTCACCCTCTCCAGGCTCCATCTCTCAAATCTCCAGGAATTTCCCACCTGGATTTGGCAACCCTATCAGGACTGGCCCCAATGAGTTTTCTCCCAGAGGCAAAAATAGGTGCAGATAGGGCCTTTTACTGACAGAACCTGGTTGCCTAGCAACAGGAACTGAGGAGAAAGTACAGTGGGTGGGGGTGGGGGTTATGCTGAAAGTCCCCCCCCTTTTTTTTACTAACAGAAGTTGGTTGCCTACCAAGAGCCACTGAGGGGACAGTTAGTCACAGTTAGGCCCACACAGGAGCCAAGAGAAGTGTCTTCTTCAGGAGAGAGTCCGGCTTTCCAGGAGCGACAGCTCGTTTCCTCCAAGCCTGACCCTCCCTGGCACTTCTGCTGCTGAAGGAAGGTGGGGGAGCTGTTGAAAGGCACTGGGCAGCCTTCTCTGCGGTGCAGCTTGCTGAGCTATTGCCCTGACAAAGCACCGGCCTTACAGCCGAGGGAGACAGGCCACGAGGGGCAGTGAAGGTGAGCGCTTCCCCTGCTTGCTGCTGCTCGCTAGGTCTGCCTCTTACTAACAGAAGTTGTTTGCCTACCAAGAGCCACTGAGGGGACAGTTAGTCACAGTTAGGCCCACACAGGAGCCAAGAGAAGTGTCTTCTTCAGGAGAGAGTCCGGCTTTCCAGGAGCCGCAGCTCGTTTCCTCCAGGCCAGATCCTCCCTGGCGCTGCCACTGCTGCTGAAGGAAGGCGGGGGAACCATTTCAAGGCGCTGGGCAGCCTTCTCTGAGGTGTAGCCACTGAACTATCGCCCTGATAAAGCGCCGGCCTTGCGGCCAAGGGAAAGGAGCCACGAGGGGCAGTGAAGGTGAGTGCTTTCCCTGGTTGCTGCTGCTCGCTAGGTCTGCCTCATTCTCCCCCGTGGAGGGGTTGCTGCTCCCTCAGCAGAGCATCCATCCCCTTCGCTGGCTCCCTCCAGACTGAGAGCGAAATGCTGGCTGCCAGCTCAGTGGGCGTGGCCAAGCCAATGCAGCGAGGCAATGCAGCCAGGGGATTAGGAGTCTGTAAAACGGGCAGCCGAGCGGGCAAAAGGCTGTGGAAGCATGTCTAGGAATCACACCAAAACTCTTTCATATATAAGGAGAGATATTTGAATGGGATGTCATTTTGAATTTTGTCTATCTCTTGACAAAGTTGTTTTCATTGTGCTGTTTAAAGCTTTTCCAGTGTAATTTGATAAGTCTTTAATTATTTTACTATTTTTTGATTTTCTTGATGTTTTTGTGTGTTTTTTCTTTTTTCATCACTGTACTGATTTGTATTTTCTAAGCCACCTTGCAGATATTAGTATGCAGAGGTAGAGACATGCTGTAAAATAAATAAAGCTCACACACGTGCTTTGAAACTGGAGCTGTTGGAGACACTCTGCAGAATTTGTGTTAAAATAAGATATCATGGAGCAAATCAGAAAAAACTTCAGATATAAAGGGATGAGTTTTGATTATATTTAGGTGTACCCACTAAGGGTTTGTTGTGCCAATGAATACAATCAAAACTGTAAAACAGTGGCTAGAAAGTGCCCAGAGAAGGCAAATGACCCACCAACTGGTAAATCAGTTTGCCTGTCCTCAGTATGCTTAAATGCCTGTACATTAAATGAGACTTATTGTCATTTTCTCTATGAAACTGAATTCAATATTTTTCATTTAATTATAATTTCAGTAGATGGGATCCAAGAAGCTTTCCTAGGCATGCTGAAAGGTTTGGGCCTAGGCAGTGAAACTAGTAGGGTTTTTTTTTTTTTTTGGCTTTGCTTTGCTTCTGAACATGATAGGGTTGCCAGCCTCAAGGTGGGGCATGGAAATCTCCCACTTTTACAAGTAGTCCCCAGCTGACAGAGATGAGCTCCCCTGGAGAAAATGGCTGCTTTGAAGGGTGGGCCCTATGTACCATGCTGAGGCCCCTCCCCTCTCCAAACCCCACCCTCTCCCAGATCCACCCCCAAAGGCTTCAGGTATTTCCCAACCCAGACCTGGCAACCCTAGAACAGGCACACCTCCTTCTCCCACCCAGTTTCAGAATTGCATTGCTGTGTAGCATAGATCTGTTGTTTGAAAAACAAGCCTAAAATCCTTAGGAGGAGGTCATAAAGTGACATTTTGGACCCTAGCCAGTATGTTTTTCTTTCTGTTCCGACACATAGAAAACACTTCTGTTCATTTTTCTAGGGAATCTAAGATTTCTTCTAGTGAAAAAATGAGGATTGGAGGTAGTGAAGAAATTGCCTGGATGCAGATATGTGAGCCCACCGAAAAGGATAAAGGAAAGTATACTTTTGAGCTATTTGATGGAAAGGATGCCCATAAGCGAACTATTGATCTCTCTGGACAAGGTAGGAATCTTAGTAATGGCATAACGTTTTCCCTACTGTAAAGAAAAATATAATATTTGTCCCATTTTGTAGTGGAAAAATTACTTTACTTTTTAGATATTTATTTAATGCCAATAATTTTCAAGGGTGTAGTACTACCTTCATTCATGCTATGTCTGCTTTTATCAGTGTTGACTTTGATCCTGGTTCTCATTTCATTTGACGTTTCTGTACCATGTTATCGGTTAAAAGGAAAGAAAAACACATGTTCTATGACAATGTCTTATAGTAAGTCCAAGGAAAACTTTATAATGCACTGAAATATTTCATTGCAGCATACGATGATGCCTATGCAGAATTCCAAAGACTCAAGTAAGCCTTCTAATTTTTACATTTATACTAATTCCAGCTACCTGCTGTTGACTATTAATGGCATTATAAAGTATTGTAATATTAATTCTTTTATTTCCTTTTTTTCTTCTTGCCTTTAGGGCAGCTGCTTTTGCCGAGAAGAGTAAGTAAATTATTTATAGAGGAAGGAAGTTAATTATTATCATGTAAGACCAAGAGCTAGTAATGTAATGAAAAGGCTGGAGGGGATGGTGGTAACAGCCGTAATATGCACGTATAAAGCCATTCAATGAAGATGAAATAATAAGGCATATAGATTATGCTTTCCTTCAAGCTAGGAATTCAGCAAATTTCTCAGTGAACCTGTTCAGCAGATGAACTTAATCTTGTTCAACACTCAGAATCAGACCAAGAGGGATCTTAGTGATTCTGAGACCCTAAGCAACAAGCCTGTAGCTGGCTGCTCTGGTTAGAAGCCAATGTACAGCTGATCCATCATCAGCTGGGAGTTGGCTTGTGAGGGCTGCAAGTAGCCTGTTTCTGCAGAGACACACAAACAGGATGCAACAGCCAAACAAACCATTGATTAATTGGCTGCCTGATCACCGCTGGCAGAAATAATTGGCAGCTTACGAGCATCCTTTCTTCAGACCTGTTTGAGAACAGGCATGGTGCAGTTCCAGATTGAATGGCTTATTAAGTGTGTTGTCATAGGCCAGGCAAGCCCAACATAAAAACCACCAATCTGGACATCTGGACCACATCTGGTGGTCCACTAGAGACTTGATAAACTATCTGTCTGGGACTGCAATGGAGAGGTTTTTTCCAGCAGTTTAGTCTTAGGTGAAAAATCAAATTATTTAAGTTTTTTTCTGTGGAAGTGAATTAAAAAAAAATAAAAAAATAAAAACAAAAACAAAGCAGGAGAATGGATATCCCACACCAAATTTTCAATTCAAAGTCTGTTTTTTTCTGTGGAAGTGAATTAAAAACAAACAAAAAATTAAAATTAAAAACAAAAACAAAGCAGGAGAATGGAAATCCCACACCAAATTTTCAATTCAAAGTCTATGACAAGTTGTAAGTATATATAATGGTGGACAGCAATGCTCCCTCTAAGCTGTGGTGTCTTGTGAGCAAAAATCCTACTTTGTGAGCTACTGGCATCAAAGTTGTGAGTAAGCAATTTGACTACTGCATAAATTAGTTTGCTCTGGAGCCCTCCTTCCTGAGCTGAGGCAAAAATGTGTGAGCTGGAGGCTAAAAAAATGTGAGCTAGCTCAACTAACTCAGCTTAGAGGGAACCCTGGTGGACAGACATGAACAATGACAAATTAGGTGCTGATGGTAGCAAGGATGGGAAAACATATAAGCCAGAATGCTTCCAAATTGTTCCTTTATAGGAATTCTCTCTGGAATATGCTATTACATTCCAAGTTGTTTATGTCACAGAATGGAACTGTGTACATATCTTTTTGCAGGCAGATGCAAAAGGGGTGTGTGTGGAGGTGAATGCTGGCCCCTTAAATATCTTTCACCTGCCCCACCCTTGATGTTGTCTCCATTCACATACTGCATTGGGCTGGGTGGCTCTTCCTTTTCACCCGCAACCAGCAAATTCTGCCCCCACCTGCTCACACATAGGTAGAGGGAGGTGGTGTCTGGAATGGGTTGGTTTCTTCAACAGATTCTGGCTTACAAAGCAGGTTTATAAATATTTATAAAAAAATGTTTGAGGTAGTACACATTGAGGCTTGGAGCTGGCAGAGATTTCTGAGGATGGATGGGATTTTATCTGTTGAGTATGACTTCTTTTCCTCCCTCTCCCACTTCAGAATCCCCTGAAATACTGCTCAGGCAGGGCCGGCTCACTCACTAGGTGAACTAGGCGATCGCCTAGAGTGGGCCGGCCCTTAGGGGTGCCAAGCTGCACCCAGCCCAGTACTCTGGGAGTTTCTTGATTATTTGTATTTTTCATTCTTCCTAAAATGCATTTATTTTTGAAAATTGGTAGGTGCATGGGGGGGGGGGGGCGCCAGAAGGGATCCTCACCTAGGGTGCAGAATAAGCTGGGGTGTGCTCAGGGAAAAGGGAACCCCTTAGAACAGCATGGGGGGGAGTTGGAGGTCTGTAGGAGAGGGGGAAATAAGCAAAAATTCTGCTTTCTCTGTGTGGAAATTCTCTGCAAGATTCAGTACTGAGGATGTCTTATCATTATGGGAGTACCCTGCATGCACTGAAAATATATATTGAAATGCCCATCATAACATACATCTATACAAGCAATTCATAGAAATCACAGAACATCAGAGTACATGAACAGACAACTTCACACAACAAAACTATGGAGCAAATATGGAATGGAATGAGTGACATTCCTCTACCCATGCATATGAGTCTGGTAGTTGGTCTGAAGCAGCAGAACAAAGTTTGAGTCCAGTGGCACCTTTAAGACCAGTGAAGTTTCCTAAGCTTTCCTGTGCAAGCACACTTCTTCAGATACAGCAAATATAGTTTGGACAGTTTGCTATTCATCAGCATGGATAAGTTTCACAGTTCAGCTCCTAAACATGCACACTCTTTACTTCCATGATGTATGCTTAGAATTGCAGGCTAAAATTGTAGCTTCCAGAAGAATGTCTGGACATCTTATTCCATCATATTGCATTATTATTTCTGAAGCATTATGATGACACCGAAGAGGCTAGTAATTTACTATATCCTCTGGCCATAATTTTACCTGAAATGGTCAGCTAAAGTGTTTATCTGCTGTTGTATATGCAAGACCAGCCAAACCCAGAGAGGAAATAGGAAGCCATCTATAAAAGGGCTTGCTTTAGTTATGAAAATGTATTGGGAAAAGAGAGAGATGCAGACTGCACTTTTGGCTTTATCCATTTTTCCAGCACATGAAATAGGGATTCTAATTTGTATGAGTGACAGTGCTCTGTAAGCTGAAAGTGGCATTTAGTCCAGGTCTCAGCTGAAGTGGAATATAATAGGGTAATAATTACTGAAGTTAAAACTAAGGAAATTGTATTGCAATTAACACTTGATCATTGACAATGAGATCTTAAATTGGTCCTAAACCTATCAAAGTAAGTGAGATTAGAAGACTGTAATTTTGTTTAGGATTGCACTGTTTTGGGGGCTGTTCAGCATATGATAAAACACAGGACAGGGCAAAAAGTTTAATTCAACTAGAGCAGTGAATAATCTTGGGCTGGCCCTGTATGGCAGTAGGCAATGGAACTTAAAACATTTCGGTACTTTGAGCCAGGAAAGGTGAGATACTTTGGTTTTTATACTGTCTCATCAGTTAGAACAGATTTGCCTTTTGTAGGAGAAAACTGGGAATATCAACAATATTTTTCCTCATCACACTAAACGGTTGCATTTCAGTATGCAGAAAGCTTAGTTGCTTCTCACCTCTAAGTTTTAAGAATCTCCCAAAATTGGACGCCCTATAAAATACTGTAAGTGAAAACCATTGGGAAAGCATGAATTAAATTGGGTATGACAGCAATACAGAATAGGTCGTGCTGTTTGACAATCTGCACTATATACTTGCCTCCTAATGTTGCAGGGAGATCTCACACTTTTGCATTTTCCATAATATTCAGTGCTGGAGAGGCTGCTGACACAAATTTTTGGTTGTCCCAGCATTTAAACTTAACCTGATATAGAATGCTGAACACCTTGAATAAAACAGGAGGCTGCACACTTATTCTATTGTTTGAACTCTGGCAATTTTTGTATGACAAGTTTCTTGTTCTTACTTTCATAGACCGTGGTAAAGTAATCGGTGGATTGCCTGATGTTGTGACTATAATGGAAGGAAAGGTAAGGCTATCTTGTGCTCAGCCATTTGGGAATGGGTGTGAGGCTGAAATGCTGGTCAATGCCCATGCAAGGATGCCTGTGCAATGAATGCGCATCCCATCATCATGTGCTGTTTGTTGCTGGGAGCAAGCCCAGCTGTCATGGTAGTGGAGGTGCTGCAGGGGTGTAGTTCAGATTTGTCTAGCAGCAGGACAGGTGTGGTGTGCAACTACTACCTCCTCCCATGTCAACAGAGGCCAGTAGCAAGCCAAGCCTTGTGAGCTTTGGTTCTCTCCTCTCTATGCTGCTGTGAGCCCTGGTGCTGGTAGAAAAGGCTATGAACATGTAAATTTTTGTATATAAATAAGATTACGTTCATCTTAAAAATATACCAGTAAGCACATGATATGTCTGTTCAATAATGCCTCCAAGTCAAATTACAAAATCTGGTTATTAAGGTCTCAGCCACACATTCCTACAGCTGCATTCACTCCCACTTCCTACATCCAACTTATATACACCTCTCCCCATAACAACATTACCCTTAAAGAAACATATACACACCTAGACCACATTTCCCACCTTTCTTAACCTTCATCCAAAACCAGTGGTTGTCTTGTTCTTGTTTCTTTTTTGTCAACTGCTACAGCAGATGGTATATCTTAAGATGATGATGATGGTAATATCTGTTGAGACATATCTAAAGGTGCCAACTGAAGACTTGAATTGACCTCATCATGATCAGGCCCAACCTTATTTTGGATTACTGGTAACAAAAGAGAGTCATCTGGCTCAGAACCAATATCTCTCCCACTAGAATACATGGGTTCCAAATGGGAAGCATTCCATACATGGTCATCTGACAGTCTATAGGTATATTGTCCTTTCTTCTCAACAATCTTAAGAGAGGAGATCAATTTAAATTCTCCCTTCCTCAGGACCCAAGGTCTTCTTATTCTAACAAATGAACCACATTCAAATTTAACATCCTTAGCACCCCTATGTTTATCTATGTGAACCTTATACTTCTTTTGCATATGAACCACTCTTTCTCCGAGACTAGATTCTAACAATACATCAGACCTTGCATTTGAAAATCCAATCACATTTAATTTAGTACACATCTCTCTCTCCCGTGTAATAATTCTGCTAGTGATCTTTGCATTGTAGCATGTCATGTTGCCCTATATGTTTGCAGAAAATCAGTAGTAAAAGCAGTCCATCTCTTCCAGTTTAGCTGTGTGCAAGCTATCTTTCAAACTTCTGTTAAATTGTTCAATTTCTCCATTTGCTTGTGGGTAATACACTGACAACCACCTATGTATAATATTTGACCCGCAAGAAAAGTTTCAAACTTCAAAGAAGTAAATTGGGCACCATTATCAAAGATACACTCTTTTGGATCCCCTTCCCTACTGAAAACTACAGCCAAAAACTTGATCACAGGAGCTGAGGTAGCTTATGACGTAAATGCTATCTCTGGCCACTTACTAAAATAATCTGTTACAGTAATAGCATAACAACACTCAATGAGGGCAGTATCAAAAGGTCCCACAATATCAATCACAACCTTTTCCCATGCAGAATGTGGAAATGGGACTGGCTGCAATAGTGCTGAGTGTGTTAATGCTGTCTTATCATGTAACTCAGGTATGTCCAACGGGTAGATCGCGATCTACCAGTAGATCGCGGAGGGGTCAGAGGTAGATCACCAGCCCCACTTCGTCTCCTGGTTTGCTGGACAGGTGTTTAGCATTATAAATGGGGTGGGCGGGCGGTGGAACCCAACTTTAGTGGGTTAAAATCTAATTTGAAACTTTATTTTCATGGTGGTAGATCACCGGCACTTTTAGCTAGAAAAAATAGATCACTACCTGTTCGAAGTTGGACATGCCAGATGTAGCTGACAAGTGACACAAGCCTGAATGGCAACTTTCATTTGAGAATCCATTCCAGCCCACTGATACAAATCCCACAATCATTGTTTAGTCCATACACTTCCTTGATGTGTATCACGGGCAAGAACAAATAGTCGATGTGTACCTCGTAAAATGCAACCATTTTGTAATGAAAGCTCATTGTGTACTCTAAAGTAAGGCAACAACTATGAATCAATTCCCTTTATGTTATTAAGCTATTTATTCATCAAAAATCCCCTTAGTTTCTACTGGATTGGGCCTGCTAAACATGCAGCTTGTAGCTACCACATTAACTGAGTAAAAAAAATAATCATTCAGCGCAGTAAGAGCAGTCTTGTATTTACCATCAACAATAGGAAATGTGTAAAAAAATTGTTTTTCTATGTCAAGGAGTGAATAAGCAGCACAACTTCTCTCTCTTCAGAAACATCTATGCCACTAATTGCAAGCAGATAATTATCAAAATATAAACCCATGTAGTAAAAGCAATTGAAGGCTCACTTGAAATTTGCAAAAAAGGTACTGATGGATTCAAAGTCAAAAAAGCCAGCCCACCTTTGTTGCCAGTTTCTTATGTCTGTTCAATAATGCTTTCAAGTCAAATTCCAAAATCTGTTTATTAAGGTCTCAATCAAATAGCAGTTAAAACACATTCCTACAGCTTCATTCATTCCCACTTCCTATATCCAACTTATATACATCTCTTCACATAATAACAATTATCTTAAAGAAACATACACACACCTACACGATAGCACACATATTTCTGGCCAGTCAAATGGCTACTCTGCTGGCAAAGTAGTATACAGGCACAGGCTCTCAGAAATTAATAGCTGTACACAACATTTCTGGTTATGCAGTAGCACTGGCACTGGGTGTAACACCACTGTTGCTATAGTGGTTGTATCTTGGAACTTGGACAAAAAAAAACCCCGCTACAACTTTGGACCCAACTTTTCTGTAGTAATGGACTGGAAATGTCCCTAGCTGAGAAACATCTCCCATGCTTCTTACTGTTAAAATGTTGTGACTAGTGTTGAACTTAACTGAGGGGTGTAATTTCACAAATATTGTATCTCTTGAAAACTGCCTTGTAGGAATGAGCACAAACTGGAAAAATGTGGTTTGGTTCATAGATTGAACCAAACTGAACAGGGAGGCTAGTTGTTCAGTTTGTGGTTCATGGACTTGCAAACCCCATTGAAAGGGACTGCAGTCCTTTTAAACAGGGTTTGCAGAAGCCCAAAAAACAGCTGAGCCACTCAGCTGTTTTGGGCTGTCTTTAACGGGACTGCAGAAGGCAGCCCGAAAAACAGCTGCATAGTGGTCTTGTGCAGTCCTTTTTAAGTTTAAAGTGTGAAAATCAGCTGCTCAGGGGGGAGGTGCTCCTTGCCACACAGATTTTTTGGGGGTCTGTCATCTGCAGTCCTTTTAAAGTTTAAAGGCAATCCAAAAAAGCTGAGCATGGGGGGGGATCACCTTCCTGCCACTCAGCTGTTTTTGTGGCTTTTGTGGGGAACAGAAAGCAGGGGTTTAAAAGGGTTCAGAGTCCCTTTAAACTCCTGCTTTCTGCTCCATCCATGAACTGCACAAACTGCTCTAAAAGGGTGTGGAAGTTTGTGATGGTAGAGCTATCATGAACTTCTGTTCCCAAACCACAAACAGGGCAGAATTCATGATGAATTTGGCTTCATGGTTCAGTTTGTGCCCATCCCTAGTGCCTTGTGTTTTAGCAATTGGAGCTTTGAACAAATGGAAAACATAGAAGGGATGTCTGATTGTTTTTTAAAAATCCAGAAATTCATACACCTCAGTACACAACAATGTGGTTTACATGATCCCTCAGTGAACATCAGTTAGAACATTGCTACAAGCTAAAACAAAATCAATGCACATTAGTATACAGAAATGAACTTTTGAGAAGAGCCTTAATGTGTGTTAATGAATGAATTTTAAATTTCACTCTTGTTTTTAAAGCCCAGTATGCACATCAGCACACAGTAACAAGGGCTTTAAAATAAAATGGTTTCTAACATGCATTGGCATGCACATCAGCTCACAGCAACTGAACTGAGAAAAGAGAGCAGATAATGTCCCTTGAAGAAAAAAATGCCACACAAGCAGCAGGGGAACGATTCTTGGGAAGAGATGTGAAAAAATTTGCAGAAAAGTGGAAGGGAGAGGATTTTTCCCTAATCCCTACAGACCTTTTCATGCCCTTCAAAATGACAGTTTTTGCATCAAAGAACAGAACATCACAAAAATTCGTTGCAACAGGAATTGTGTTATTTAATGCAGATTGGGCTGTGAATTGCTTATTTTGGAACAAATCAACACAACAAATAACTTCGCAATAACCTCAGTGTGACTCAAATTAATTAAGGTCCCTTGAGAGATTTTGTGTCTGCAATGGCTTGCTCCATGTTCTATGCATGGGAAAAACTTCAAAGACATTTTAAATGTATCATTGTCTGAACATTATGTCAAGCTAATGGTGTGGTTGGGAGCCTGCTTCAGGCAAGTCTGCAATGACATTCCAAGTGACATCTTCACACAATGCTGCCCTTGGGCTATTATTGCATTATACTAGCTGAAAAGATGGAGGAATACCCACATCAAAAAGAAGTACATTTTAAGGAATATGCCTCTGTGTTGCAGCCATGATAAGTCTTGCACATGTGCAATATTATCCTGCCACAGCAAACCTATTTAAGGTGCCATTTTTTTTCCCGTAAATGCACACCAGGCATTCTCCTTTGTAATGTTTTTTATTCAGTGATTTGATAGCAAAGATTTTGTTTCCATAAATGACACATTGGATTAACCCTTAATTTTCTCCCCTGCCCTTTCCCCCTTTTAGACCCTGAACCTGACTTGCACCGTCTTTGGTAATCCTGATCCTGAAGTGGTCTGGTTTAAGAATGAGAAGCTTCTTGAACTTAATGACCATTATGTAGTTACGCTGGAGCAAGGGAAGTATGCCAGTTTGATAATCAAGGGGGTGTCATCAGAGGACTCAGGAAAGTACAGTATAAATGTCAAGAACAAGTATGGTGGCGAAATGGTGGATGTCACTGTAAGTGTGTACAAACATGGTGAAGAGTTGCCTGACATCAAACCTGCTGCATCTGGTAAAGCAAGGCTAATACCAGCAGACCCAGCTCAAGAACCTGCAATGTCTAAACCTGCAAAAAGTGGCAGGAAGTAGATTTGGGTGTGTTTGACAAATGAAAAGCTAGAGAAAAGCTGTAGGAGTCCCCCCCCCCCCATTAGTGTTTTTGCAGTAGTTAACTGCCAATGTCCAAGGAACAGTCAAGGTTTTTGAAGTACGTACCACATTCTCAGTTGTTGGACAGTCCCATCCACAGATGTGATGACATCATTATGAATAGAAATGTGTTGTGGCTTGCAAACAACAACAGGCTATTAGGATGGCATCTGTCATTAGTTTACATTCAAACTGTTATTATTTGGGGGGGACACAGCTCTGCTTATCGCAACTGAAATAGGCAGACGGTTTAGTTGAATATGTAACTGGGGAACCGAACCTTGCTTCTTAATATGAACTGTGAACCTCAGTGCTTTTTCTAAAACCCCAATGACTTTGGATGGGCTATAGAGAGATAAATGCATTGAGAGCTGTGGCTTCAGAAGATTAAGATGAGCTGGAAAATGACCTTAGTGGCATTGCTGTTTTGTAGTGCAAGCTGATCTTTGGTAGTATTTTAAAATCACCATGGACTCATTTAAACCATAAGTTTCACAGTTGTTGTTGTTGTTTCTTCTTCTCCCCCTGCTTTGTGCTAATAAAAACTTTAAAAGTCACCTTGTGTTTCTCTCTGCACCAAATTACACTTAACTAGTTCTGTTTACTCTCTTTTACTGTTTAATTACGGCTTATTGCACAATTTCACAGCTGGTAGCATGCAGACAATGGACTTATAATAAAGAAAACAAATTATGGCTCATCATAGTCATTCCATGGCATTTACTGCATTAATATTACACTTTATGGCATGGTCAGTAAGCAGTTAGGAACTGGTATCAGGAGACACCTCCTAGGATAATTATGCTTCCAAATTGGGTCTCATCCCAGGAAGGCAAAGTCAAAACTCTCTTAAGCTTCCATAGCCAAAGCAGCTGACTCTGAGCACTGTTCCGCTTTACCACTAACAGATGTATATTTTAAATGGGATTAACACATGTGCCCTGTATCAGCTAGTAGTTGGGTAACTATTCCTAAAATAACATGTTATAAATGGCACAAATAATCTTTAATATTGTTCACATGTTGTCAACAGAGATTTGCTTTGTTGCAGTTGATTTCTTTACTTAGACTTGGATCCTAAGGTACTGCTCTGCTGGCATAATGGCAGATCTTCTGATGGAACAATATATAGATGTTCCTGGAGTTCCACTTATCTGCAGAAGCATTTCTTTTTTTGGGGGGGAGTCACAGATGATGGACGTGGGAGATGGAGAAGTTCCCTCTCTACAGCGTAGTGGTGCTCACACTGCTCAGAATCCATGCCTTAGCTTGAGTATGCAGAATCTTCCTGTTGTAGGGAAGACATTATAAATATGTGGGATCCAATAACTTGGCTTTATCACACAGATGTCACAGCGTGCCTCTGTTTGTCTGTGACAGACATGCTGATGTAGTGGTTGTTAAGAGTAGCAGACTCTAATCTGGAGAACTGGGTTTCATTCTGCACTCCTCCACATGAAGCTTGCTGGGTGACCTTGGTCACAGTCACAGTTCCCTCAGAACTCTCAGCCTCACCTACCTCACAAGGGGTCTGTTGTGGGGGGGAGGAAGGGAATGTGATTGAAAGCCTCTTTGAGACTCCTCAAGGTAGAGAAAAGCAGGGTATAATAAACTCTTCTTCTTCTTCTTCTTCTTCTTCCATACATACCTTCTTCTGCCTTCCTCTCCCCTCATGTGTGGACAGTATGTGGAAGGTTCTTGGTTTGCGAAGACTTTAATAAAATGACATATCAATGCACCTGGGCAAATTGGAGTTTTTCTTTCTCCACAAACCAGGGTTTGAAACTGAGATTAAAATATGGTTTGGAATCCCAGTTTGTGGGGGAGGATACAAATTTCAATTTGCTTAGACACTTGCATTCAGATGTAATTTGAATGGAGTTTGACTGAAAGCTTTGCCAACTAATTTTCTTTCAGTTGAGCTCCATACACAATAGAGTACATGAGCACAAACAGTGCTTGTAGCTTTCAAGGATGACATCTGAAGGTGGCCATCATTGGGACTAAGCCAAAGGCATGCTTCATACATGATTTACTCCTACAACAAGGTGACCTCTGTATAGAGAAAAACAAGTATGCTGCCATTTACAAAGTCCAGTAAAGGAAGATTAAGTATACAGATGATGAAAACTGAGGCATGTGTTATCACAGCATTACAAGATAAATTACATCAAAGTGTTAGGCAGTTCACTTTCTTTGGTTCAATCCTATTTTAAGGATTTTAGGTTACATAGTCATTTAATCAGTTTCTTTATTAATAAATTAATACCCACACACACACACAATGATACCAGTTTCGTATTCAAAAACTTTGATCATGTTAAACTATTTCTGGATGTAGTTAACAAACTGTAGAAGCTGATAAATACAGCATAGAAAATAAACTATATTTTGTGTTATTGTTATGGCCATGAGTATACAGGTTATATTTAGCAGAGATTCTTGTGTATTGTTGCAGCTTTTCAGAAGTATCCTTGGGCACTGCAGGCTAAGTTAGACTCATCCTGGCTGTGCCTTTTAGTCAGTCTTTTTAGCTAGCTAAGCTCTACCCATTTCCTTTCAGGTAGAAGGGAAAGAATTTATGGTGGCATTTAATCCTTTGCTGAAACAGAGAAATTAGCACTTGCTGGAATGCTATTTTCAAAAGGCTGAAGATTTGTAATAAACATTTACTTTTTGTCCAGCATGCAAGGCAGCAGAGTTCTACTTTGTGTGATTTAAAAAACAAAACAAAAACAACATTTGCTAGTAGCAGAGATGTTAGTTAAAGGACCTACTCTTTAAACAGTGATTGTTCAAAATATTCAATTAAACATGGGCCCAGCTGGTCCAGCTACAAGCTATGAATGTGCAGAAGAATGGTTCGATGCAAATATCCCATTCTGAAGGCCAGACTAGATGGTACCATGTCCCCAAGTCCACCAAGGGGACGCTGCACCATTTTAGAGTCTGGGGTTTTTTTACTTTTAAAATTGCAGCAGGGGTCCAATCCTGCCAGAGATGGCAGCACAGGAGTATGAGGGGCTTCTCTCTTGAGACTAGAGCCCCTCATCCCCCTCAGCTGTGGTCCCTAGGAGGATCAGGCCTCTACAGTGATTTTTTAAAGGCTCTAAAATGGTGCAGTATCAGGGATACTGTGCCAGCCTCAGGGATATGGTACTGTCTAGTTTAGCCCTGAAAAGTAACTAGTCGATGTAAGTGGATGTAAGGTTGCCAAATATCCTGTCTTTCTAATGAAAAGCCATTTAGTGGTAGGTTGTTTACTAGTTGATATTACTTACCTGCAGGTGCCCATTTCCACGTACATTTCCACTAAAGGATCAGATCACCTATTGGCAATCCTAAATTTATGCTAGGTGTGCAATTTCCTTGTCTTTTCCAACTGTTAGGACTTGTGCATGCATACCTCTTTGGAGTTAGTCTTCCCCTCTTCTTTGAACACATGAGGCTATCAGACCATTGGTCCGTAAAAGTCAGTGTTGTCTTCTCTAACAGGCATGAATAGGGATGGGCATGAACCTCATCCTGAACATAAATTCATAATGAAAATCGCCTGGTTCATGGTTTGTGAACCAAGGATCACGTGATCACATCTGCAATGAACCTCCTACAAACCTCCATGGTTTTCACAGAGATTTGTGTGGTTCATGCCAGCGGTTCATGCAGCAGACATGCTGGCGCTGATCAATTAATCGTCAGTGTAATGAGGGGGATGGATTTTTGCAGCTCTTCCTCTGCCTTGGAAACACCAATAGTGGCCTCCAAAGCTCGACAGGCAGTGCTGCCTGTCAACAAGAGAGCTCCCATTCTGTTCTATAGGAGCAAAATGGATATGTACCCCCAGCTCACATGCAGCTGTTTTTACTTTGCAGCAGGCAGTTAGGGAATTTGAAGTCATTCCTCAGTGTGAAAACAGTGGGGTTGGGGGTGTTTGTGCTAACTTAGGGCTCTGAGGCACCTGTTATTCTGCTCAAGCTGAACAGAGGGGCTCAGCCAGTGGGTTCCTTGGCTGAGGTCCCACACTCCCCCCTAGTGGAATTTTTGAACCTTCAATTTCTCCCCACCTTTCCCCTTTGGGTCCTTGGATCCTTGACTTTCACGCCTCTGGGCGTCCCCCCTTGGCTTAGCATCATCAGCTACCTTTGCTGTGCCTGGCCCTCCTCTTGGTTTTGCAACTTTCCATCCCCCTCCTGCGCTAGATCTCCTGTTGGATCCCCCCCCAGTCCCTAGGATCCTCAACTTCCGAACCTCTGGGCACATCATCAGCTGCCCTTTCTGTGCGTGATCTCCACCCACTCCTGCACTAGACCTCCTGTTTGATTCCCCCTTTTGCACTTTGGACCCTAGGATCCTTGACTTCTGTGCCCCATGGCATCCTCCCATGGGCTTAATGTCATCAGCTGTCCTTGCTGTGCCTGCCCCTTGTCTCAGTTTTCCAATTTTCCACCCCTCCTGCACTTTTCACCCTCCTTTTGCACTTTTGACCCTAGGATCCTCAACTTCCATGCCTCTGGGCACCCTTCACAGGCTTAATATAATCAGCTGCCCTTGCTATGCCTGCCCCTCATCTTGGTTTTCCATCTTTCCACCACTTCCTGTGCTGGACCTCCCACTGAGTACCTCCCCTTTTGCACTTTGGATCCCAGGATCCTCCAGAAGGAGGCGGGCATTAC